CGGCACCGTAAACTGTTGTAATACTTTAATCGCCGGTATATTCAGCGAATGCCGCAAGGCCTCATCTACCGATACATTACCACGAAACTGGAGGTCATAATTTTCAGGCGTATAACCGTTGAGGTTGACGGGCACATCCGCAATCATGGTTTGGGGAGTGATCATCCCTGCATCATAAGCAAGGCCGTAGAGGAATGGTTTCAGGGTGCTGCCCGGCGAGCGTAAGGCCTTTACGCCATCTACCTGGCCCTGGTGGGCACGATCGTCAAAGTCCGGTGAGCCGATATAGGTCAGCACCTCATGCGTCCGGTTATCGGTAATGATCACAGCTGCATTAAACACTTGCTGTAATTTCAGGGAGGCGACATACCTGTAAACGATCTGCTCTGCTTTCAACTGCATACCGGGATCAATCGTGGCGTGAATGTCCAGCGTAGCGGGCAGGTTAAAGCGCAGGCGCCAGGCCAGTTGCGGAATGCCATCGGGGGCATTGTGGCGATAGGCATCCAGGGGTTCTTTTAAGGCATCATCAATCACCTGTGGCGGAAACAGCTTAGCCTCTTTAAAACGCAGCAGCCATTTATTCCGCTCCAGCACAATTTTTGGATTGTCCTTCCCAATGACCAGCGAATTAGGGCGGTTGGGAATAATGCTCAGCGCCGTCAGCTCCGCCAATGATAACTGATCCGGCGACTTATTAAAGTAGAGCAGAGACGCCGCTTTGACACCTTGTATATTAGATCCGTAAGGTACGAGGTTCAGGTACAGCCGCAGGATCTCGTCCTTGCTGTAGTGTGTTTCCAGCTGCATGGCCCGGAACATTTCGATGGCTTTATTAAAGTAGGTACGGCGTTTGGGTGCCTGCAATCTCGCCACCTGCATGGTAATCGTGGACGCGCCGGAAGTGCGTTTTAACCGGAAAATATTATGGATCAAAGCCCGGCCAACGGCCAGTGGATTGATCCCGAAATGATGATGAAAATACCGGTCTTCTTTAAAGATAATCGCTTCTTTCAGCTCCGGGGTCAGCTCATCCAGCCGGGTTTCAAAACGCCATTGCTGGTCGCGCGTCAGAAAAGCGTGGGTGACATTTCCATCCCTTGTGCGTACCAGCGGGGCAAACTCTAGTGTACTGTTTACCGGGAACAGGCAATCCAACGCCACAAATATTAATACTGCATAGCAACAGATACGTAACAGCCGGTAACCGGCACGGAGTATTTTCTTTTGAAGGGGGATAGCAGGCTTCATGACACACGCAGCAGGGTGCAAAATAGTATTTTATACAACCATTCGGCCGTTCTTATTGCCAGGTAGTTGCCAGGTATGTACTCACTTATAAAGCAGGCAATAAGCATCGTCATTTTTTTCTGACTGCCGGATCTGCTCGTATCTGAACAGGTTACGGTAAGCATTCATTACTTTTGCTACAAAGCACGGAATCTGTGAAGATACATACAGAAAATCTTGTTAAGCGTTACCGAAACCGGACCGTGGTCAACCACGTATCGTTTGAGGTGCAGCAAGGCGAAATCGTAGGACTGCTGGGGCCGAATGGCGCTGGCAAAACCACCTCTTTTTATATGGTGGTAGGCCTTGTGAAACCGGAAGAAGGC